TGATCTTGAACCGCTGACCTTGCAGTTCAAACGGCTTTGCAGTCTGGCGTATTAATCCACAGTGCCACACCAGGACTCTGCTCTTTACTGTACCATGTGCTCAAGTCAACTAAATTGATGACAGTGGAAATTAGTAAGGACTTCTTTGGTGCAATAGTTTGCTAACTGTGAAGATTTTTTTAGAATATAAAAATTTAGGTAATGAAATTATGTTGATGAGTTTGTTAATAAGCATGGTAAAACTTGTGGAAGCTGGAACCTGTAAGAAGGAAACTTGAATGTTTTCCACTAAAATGAGCGATAGGAAAGTGTTAAAAGATTGCACCTTGTCAAAGGTGAGAAACTTGGAAAACCTGGAAAAACAAGGCAATTCTATTGAAGTCTTGCTCTCACAAATTTCACTATATATGGTAAGAAAAGTATAGAGATTTTTTTACCTACCCTGAAAGAGTTTAGTTTCAGGTTTAATTGCTAAATTATATAGTGAAGATTTAAGTTCTAAGGAGCTCTGGTAGCGTAGTGGTTACGAATCGGGCTGCGAACCTTAAGGTCAGCGGTTCGAAACTACCAGCCGCTCCGCGGGAGAAAGATGAGGCTTTCTACTCCCGTAAAGATTTACACCTTCGGAAACCCTGTACAGGGTCGCTATGGGTCGGAACCGACTCGACGGCACTTAACAACAACAACAACAAAAGTGACACTTAATGGTTGCATAAGAAGTTGGGAACTGTTGATAGGCATAAACCAAAAAAGGAGGATGAACAATTTGAAATGAGACAAGCACTTACATGACTCTTCAAGCATAAGAAACCTTTCCTGTTACTGTTAAAAATGTAGAAGTAGATTTTTAAAAGAAAGTAAAAATGTTCACTGACTAAGAATATTGTCAAGAGCAGTTCTGTTAAATGGAAAATATAGCCAGGATGGAAATATTCTTTATTTGCATTTTAAAAACACACCTGTTTGTTTATTGAGCAATTGAAATATGACCATTGTGATTCAGGAACTGTGTAAGTTTTTATTCAAATTTGTTTTTTAGCATTTTATTATGATCTGGAGTGTAAGTTTAAAGAGCAAATTGTTTTCCATTCAGCATTTCCTAAGACATTTTGTTTGCTGACAACGAAAAAGCACACTTCCCACTTCCTCCCTGTTTACAGTTGGCCTTTATTTCTATCCCTTCTTGCCTTCTGAATTTTGTGTTTGGGCACATGTTGCCCTTGGCTTTCTTATAATGATTGATTGTTATGAGGAGTGCTCCATCCCTGGTGCTGTTCGTTTTATAGACCTGTCTTACTGTTTGGGTGAAAACAGTACTGAGTGAGTTCAGTTTGAGGCTAGAAGGGTGATTACGTGCCATAGTTTTGGGGGTTCCACCAGTCTCTATCCAACCACTAGGCCCAGTCATTTTTTATGATTGAGTTTTGTTCCACATTCATCACCCCCCCCCCCAACTCTATGTGAGACCTTCTCATGTGTTCTCTTTCAGAGCAGTTGGTAGTGGTAGCCAGACACCATCTAGTTCTGGCTTCCCAATTGTGTAGACTGAGGTTCAAGTGGTTCATTAGTCTTTGGATTAATTGTTTCCACACATCTTTATTGTTTTTCACTCTTTGCTCCATATGGGTAGATACCGTAGTTGTATGTCAGACTGTAGTTTACAAGCTTTTAAAGCTCAGTCGCTATTCCCTATATTGTGCTGTGTTGGGGTTGATGCACCCCCAGGACTATAATTGTGAGCCCCAAGCCCCAAGAATTAATTCCCTCAGGATGTTTGGTTGTGGGTAAGAAATTTTCATACTTTTACTCTACGGTGGTTCAAATTCACCAACTGCTCCTTGGAAACCCTATACAGGGTTGCTTCTTGTTAAGTACCTTTAGAGTTGGTTCCCACTCATAGGGACCCTGTATAGGATTTCCAAGGAACAGCTAGTGAGCTTGAACCGCCTACCTTGCAGTTTAAACAGACCTTGCAGTCTAGCATATTAACCCCACAGGGTCACAAAATTTTCATACTTTTCCCCATTTGCTCTATGGTGGCTAAGCTCACCAACTGCTCCTTGGAAACCTTATACAAGATTGCTATAAGTTGGAGATATTTGCAGCATGTACAAATATGTATGTGGAGATGACGTTTTGCCAAACCTATATGTGGTTGTAGGTAAATTTTATTGAATTAAAGCCATATGTGACTTTTGGCCACCCTATTGACTTTAACAAAGGTGTGTAGCAAACCTGTGACATCAAATGTTAAGTTTTGCACTTTACTTGAGACACAGTATATGTGCACACAAGTGACAATTTCATTAAGCAGGATATAACTTTATATACATTACATAGTAATATTTTGTATTTCCCCAATTCTGTCTCTCCTACAAATCATTTCAAACCCATGAACAGATTTCTGGCAACTAACAACCAGGTGAGATTTTCTGTTCCTGCAAAGATTTGCAGCCTTGGAAAATCCTATACAGGGTCACTGTGAGGCACAATTGACTTGATGGCACTTAATAACAGCAACGACATGGGTGCATGGTGGCTCTGTAAGATTAGCACTGGACTTCGAACCACAAGGTCAATGGTTCGAGGCCACCAGCTGCTTTCTGCTCTAGCAGATTTTACAGCCTTGGATGCCTTATACAAGGGCGTATATGAGTCAGAACTGACTCACCAACACTTAAAAACAACAACGTGGAATAATTGCTATCAGGACTGACTGTGAGGGTTGGAAATGTAAAGGTAGATGTTTTGTAGCAAAAGAAGGGGGGTTGTTGACTTTATAGTCCTGGAACGGAGGTCCCTAAGACCATCAAGGGAGAAGAATGGAGTGTGGGACCCTACCCAGAGAAGCAGTGACGCCAGAGATGGAGGCAGAGACGATGACATGGAGAGATGGAGCGGCTGGGGACTTTAGGCACCAGAGATGGAGCGGGGTTGTATGCTGACAACCCCGGGGCAGGCTTGTAGTGTATACCCTTTGGTTGGTTGATTATGCATGGAGAGGATTGTAACCATGGCAATGAAATGAAGTATGATAGGATGAATGTAAAGCTAATGTTCTTCCATGTAAACTCTCACATAATTCACAATAGAACATTTATAAAAACAAAACCAAACCAATAACATGGTTTCTGAAGCACTGGATAGAAAGCAGTGGGAGACTTTATTTAACTTGTGATGGGTCTTTGGAAGTGGGGGTTGGCAAATGGGGTGAGGGTGGTATGGTGCTAGGCCTTAGGTTACATATTAAAGGAATCTGGGCCTTACTGTTGGTTGTTGGTTTTATTTATGCAGGGACAGTGCATGAATAATTACTTTTGGCAGGGTCCACACAAAGCTGGTTCTGTGAGGCTGTGGTAAAAAACTCCAAACCAAACTTAATAATCATCAAGTTGGTTCTGTAGGGTATCTGAGGCTTTAAATCTTTACAGGAGCAGGAAACCACCTCTTGCTTGCACAGAGCGGCTAGTGAATTTGAACTGCTAACCTTGTAGTTTAAGCAGCTGAACATATAATGAGGCAGAGGTAAACATGTTCCAAATGTCCAACTTTTCGAAACTGCTGTACCTTTCCATCGTCTTAAATATACTTTTCCTCCCCTCAGTACTCTCCCTCTTACCGTTGGGTTGTATGAATCCCTGTGACATCTCACATATGTAGGTTTGCCAATCTTTATGCTTAGACTGATGTTAAGTGTTGTCGAGTCACTTAGACTAGCAGACCTATTTTTTTTTTTTTTATGTTGTATTGTGAATTATGTGATAGTTTACATGGGAGAACATTAATTTTACATTCATCCTATCATATATCATTTCACTGCTATGGTTGCAATCTCCTCCATGCATCCTCAACCAACCAAAGGGTATATGCGCTACAAGCTTGCTCCCCGATCGTCAGCACACAGCCCCTTTCCCTCTGTGTCTAAAGTCCCCAGCTGCTCCCTCTCTCCACGTCATCGTCTCTGCCTCCATCTCAAACATCACTGCTTCTCTGGGTAGGTCCCCGCTGGGACCTCGGCTCCTGGACTGAAAAGTTAATCACTCCCCTTCTTGCTACAAAAACATCTACCTTACATTTCCAACCCTCACAATCAGTCATGATAACAATTATTCACTATTGTGTCACGAGAGACCTATCCGCTTTTCCTTTCATCAGCCCCGCCTAGATAGATTGGATATTACTCAGTGGAGATTCTACTTTCCTTCACGCCCTCTGGATCTAGGTTCCCTCTTGAAAGCTTGTAAGCCAGTCACGTCTTGCCTTTGTAGCCCCCCCATTTTGTGTAGCCAATGTCCAAGTTGACCATCCTGTCTACTCTGTGTACGGAGGGGGTGGGAATGATCCTTGCTGTAAAGATTTGTTCCCTCTTTTGAGCTACTGCATCCATAGGTGTAGGTCAAGTTCATCAAATTGTATTAGTTTACTCTTTATTTCCTCTTCTTCTAGTTGAGCTCATTGAGCTATGCAGTCATTGAAGCCAGGTCAAGTGGGTATTATCTGCAAATGTGGGTATTCTTGTGTATATGCCCTGTCTTCTTATCAGCTGGACGCTTCATTCTCCACTCTAGTCCTCTGTGGCTATGTCACTGTCTCTGGGCCCAAGAGTCCCCAGGTCTTGCCACACTGCTGGCCAACCAGGTCTCCTTCCGGGTTCGCAGAAGTCTATTGAAGATTGTAGGGCTTAGCTTGCAGTTTCATTGCTGTTTTTCCCTCACTTCCCCTTATCGGTGACGAGCATGGTCACCAATCACAGCGTGTATTCCCATTGAGTTTCTGTCTTGGAAGGGAGTTTGCAGTGAGGGACCCGACCACTTGCCTTGATGTCTCCTGGGCAAGAGCACAGTCCATTTCATGGACAGTTGTTCTCAATAAAATTATCAAAACCACAAATTTATTGTGTGTTATTAAAATTGTGTTTTTTTAGCTGAAACTCAGAAATGTTAACTGTTGTGGTTTATATTGCTGTAAGGCTTAATGTACTTCATTGTTTTATTTTCTAGGGCTTGCATTTCTTTCGGTCCTAAGAATCGATCAATTGGAGCAGCAGCTAAAAGCCAGGTAGAGTTTTTTAAAACTATGGTAAAGTACATACGATAAAACGTTCGTCATTTGAGTAATTTTTTATGTGAACATTTGAGTAACGTGAATTAATCTGTTCGTTTTTTCTTAAAATGACTTTATTTCTCTGGTTTATATACCCACATATTCAGCTACGATTGAGTATACACTACGTGCCTAAAACTGTTAGGTCTTGTTGTTGTTATGTGTCATAGTGTTGTTTTGACTCATAGTGACCCTGTATAGGGTTTCTGAGGGAGCAGAAATCCTTACCTTTTTCCTGGTTAGGCTCTGTTGTTGTTGTTAAGTGTTGTTGAATTGGCTGGTGGGTTTGAACCGCTGACATTGTGATTTGAAGTCTAATGCTTATCTTATTGCGATATACCAGGATTCCTGTTAAGGCCTAGGTATATGTATATATGTTGTGGGTGGTATCTGGCTTCCTGTAACTTCCCAGGGAGAGGAAGATCAGGATCAACAACCTAGGGCTGATTTCTGTGAGGCAGAGGTCAGACATGCCTCTGCCTTTCAACCTTTTAGTCAAGTCTGACACCAACTGTCTCTCCTACAGTACTCTCTGCGAGTCTGCTGGATTTGGTAATTTGTTGCAGTGACCACACAGAACTCACAAATAATACACAGGATTATGGGGTTTGTTGTTGTTATGTGTTGTGGAGTTGCTTCTGACTTATAGTGACCTTGTACAGGGTTTCAGAGGCTGTAAATCTTTACTGGAGCAGAAAGCCTCATCTTTCTCCCACGGAACGGCTGGTAGTTTCAAATGCTGACCTTGCAGTTTGCAGCCCGATTCATAACCACTATACTACCAGAGCTTGGACTCCTGGTGTGGTGCTGTAGGATAAGCATTGGACTCTTAACCCATGTGGGTTAACAGCATGGCCACCAGCTATTCCTTGAAAACCCTATAAGGCCCTGGTGTGGTGTTGTGGGTTAATGCGCCAGACTGCAAAACTGTTTGAACTGCAAGGTCAGTGGTTCAAGCTTCACAAGCTGATCCTCGGAAACCCTGTACAGGGTCGCTATGGGTCGGAACTGACTCAATGGCACATAACAACAGCAACAACATGAGCTGACTCAGTGGCTTTTAACAATGATAACAGGGAAGTTGTTAAGTGCCTTTGAGTTGGTTCTGACTCAGAGTGACCCTGTATCTAGGTTTCTGACCCTGTATAGGCTGGTGAGCTTGAACCATCAACTTTTGGTTCAAATTGATCTTCCAGTCCAGTGTACTAACCTGCAGCATCAGGCCTGTGAAAATACCAACAGGGTCACCTTTTTAATGGGAAGTAATAGATTATAAGTCAAGATCAGAAATGAGTCAGGGTACAGTTCTTTAGTCAGGACAGCCTTCTTTTGCAATACCTGCAGGCCTGCCTCTAGCCTTTGGCCTTTCAGCTCCACTAACCTTTCACTTGTGTAGACAAGTGTTGCAAAGTTCTTTGAACGCTTATGGTTAGTAAGCCATGACCTAAAGGTGGCATTAAGTTAGCTCCACCTGTCAGCCAACACCTCTTTCAAGTGCCCAGAGGCATCCCACTGTGCCAGGAAGCCTGCTGCCCAAAGGCATTCAGCTTTTTAAACTCCATGGACTGGGAAGCCCACCACTTGTTGTCTGCTCCTTGCCATCTCTGGTGTTAATATAGTTCTCTGTCTCTTGGATTGAGGATGTTCCCAGTGCAGGGATTGCAGATTCCTGGTTCTTCTTCCATGATATAGTGAGATCCCTCTTTCTACCTTTGTGATTGATAGCTTATTTAAAGCAACTATCAAAACACACGGAAGCAGCAGTCAAGAAATCAAATGATGTATTTATTGCATTAGGCAAATCTGCACAAGACCTTTTTAAGCTGTTGAAGAGCAAAGCAGTCACTGGAGAAGGATACCCTGTTTGGTAAGGTGGAGGGTCAGAGAAAAATAGGAAGACCCCTAACGAGATGGATTGGCCAAGTGGCAGCATCGATGGACTCAAGCCTGGCAACAGTAGTGAGGTTGGCCCAGGATCAGGCAGTGTTTCTTTCTGCTGTGCATAAGGTTGCTATGAGTTGGTGTTGACTCGATGGCACCTAACAACAACAACAGGATGGCAAAACTGACCAAATCCCATATTAGTGTGTGATGCACCTTATTTCCCTGGACCCACTCCCACAATGGTGCTAGGTACCTTATTTACCTATTTAGCAAGCTATTGAATTCCTTGGTGGGCCACAAGCACCTCACATTTTTGCATAGCCTGAATCAGTCATTTGGTGAGGATTTTAAAGACTAGCTAGAAAAGCCAAATTAAGTAATTCACTGCACCTCTGTATATAACTAATACCACCTGATCTCTGTTTTTATGTGCCTTCCTGTACAGGGTCGCTATGGGTCGGAACCGACTTGACGGCACTTAACAACAACTTAACAATATTTAATCAAGTGATTCTTTAAAACAGCATTAGTATATTATTTGCTTCGTGTAGACTGCTAGACTATATTTTGTCCAGATATTTTTTGAACAAGATTAGCTTTTTCCTTGATAATTTAAATGTTTAAGTTCTGTCTTTAAAATTTTTTTTAATTTTTATAATTGTGAACTGAGTGATATAGTTTACATGGGAGAACATTGACTTTACACAATTGTTTCTTTGGAGTGATTACAATCTCCTTTGTACATCATCTTTCAGGAGTATATGCTTCCATTCCCTCTGTTTTTCGTTTTTTTGGGCAGGTGCCTGGGGGAGTGTACACTAAAACACTCAGGAATATATAATATTTAAACAACCAAAGGGCACATTCTGCAAGTCTGCCTCCTGGCCGCCAGCACTCAGTCCCTCTCTTTCCATGAGTCCAGAGTTCTCAGCTGCTCTCTCTCTCCATGTCCCCATCTCTGCCTCTGTTTCTGGTGTTGCTGCTTGTCTGGATAGGGTCCCACATTTCGTTTGTGCTCTTCCCCCTTGATGGTCCTAGGGTCCTCTGTTCCTGGACTGTAAGATTAACTACTCCTTGTTTTTGTTCCAAAACTTCTACCTTTACAACTGTGACAGTCATGATAACAGTTACTCACTATTGAATCATAAGAATTTTATTCCCATCTCCTTTCACCTGCCTGTCTAGACAAGATGAAAACTATTCAGTTGGGAACTCCTATCTTCATCCGCACACTCTGAAACTAAATTCCCTCTTGAAACCTTGTAAGCCAGGCACACTGTGCCTTTATCGCCCTTTCATTTTAGGTAGCCAGTGTCTAAGTTGCCCATCCCTATCTACCCCTGTATACAGAGGGGAGGGGACAGCATTGATGTAAGTTCTGTTACTGGGTCTCTCTCATCTTTATGTTTAGAATCACTGTGATTTCTAAATTTGATCTTGTTAATCAAGTTTTTCAGGGAAAGAAAGCATACTGTTAGAAGCACATTAAATAACGTAATCATTAATTTACTTTGTAAACCAGGAACCTCAGAAACCAGAGCTGCATATCTGACTTTTTACTGGTTTGGTCTGGAGCACTATATATAGGGAATATCTGTCTCTCTTTGGAACCAGGAAGGGCCTAAAAACATTTGTTTTGGGTATAGTTTTGTGAATTTAAGAATATAATGCTTGGCTAATTGTTAAATTTGGGTGATTAAGATAACCTCATTTTCAAACAGCTCAAGATACTTTAGGAGGCCAGTAAATAGCAAGTATAGAGGTATTTTAAAATTTCTTGTTTAAAATTCCAGTGAATTCTTACTGTTTGTAAATTTGCTTTTATTTTTGAGAACAGTTACTGTACGGTGCTTTCTTCCCAGTTGTAGATTGACAGAGTTATTGTGATACTTTCTACTTGACAGTTTACTGAAGCAGAACTTGATTTTGGAGGCCTCATATTCTTTTACTAAAGGTCATCTGTGGGTGTCTTTTGCAAAGGAGTTCTGTAGTGTCTCCTATAGCACTTGTTCCACTTGCTCCTCCTGCATTAAGAGGAGGAACCTGTTAGTCTTAAGAACAAATTTACTCTTGAGGTTTTTCAGTGTTCCTGCCTGCATTTTGTTTTCTTTATAATCTTTTATTCTAGAAAAACTAGAAAATGTAGGGTTGAAAGAATTTAAAAGGCATCCATAATACTATTTTCTGAAATTCACTGTTAATATTATTACTATCTTAATGTGTATTCTTTTGTACTCTTTCTAAGCATATACATGCTTTTCTCCCCTAAGAAGGAAGGAGACTTGCCTTCTTCTAGTATAATTGTAGTCACTGTGTATGGTATATCATTGTGTGAATATACCAACATTTATTTAGCCTTTCTTCTGTCACTGACCTTCCACGTGATTTCCAGTCATCTGCAATACTCTTTCAATAAATATCCTTTTGCATTCATCTTTGTGTATTTAGTGTGATCTTGTTTTTCCCCTTTATAGTATATTTCTTTAACTACAATTTATCAATGGATACATACTGCCAAACTGGATTGTGGAACGTTTGAACCAGCTTCTAAGTATGGGTAACTTTCATAAGCTAAATATCCCTTTCTTAACATGAGTAATATTTATTAGAACTTTTAGAACAGAGAACATTTGTATACGTGTAATCACCTGACTTCGTGGAAAAGTAGGAAGAGCTGGGCTCTGGTCCTGGTCCTGTTACCATATAGCCATGTACAAATTTGTCACAACTCATTTTTCATGCTATCAGGGTCACCCAGAAAGGTTCAGTGTCTGAAGAAGACAGAAACTTGAAAGGAAACTTCGACAGTGTTGAAGTGATGCTAATTTAATCTGAGTTTATTGGAAAAAATGTCATTTTCCATTTTAATTTTTTAGTATCATTTTTAGCACTCTGTCTGATGTTCTTTATCCTAGGTAATTTCCAATGCAAAGAACACAGTTCAAGGTTTTAAAAGATTCCATGGCCGAGCATTTTCAGATCCATTTGTGGAAGCAGAGAAATCTAACCTTGCGTATGATATTGTTCAATTGCCCACTGGATTAACAGGTATAAAGGTAAGATTCTCAACATACTGTCTCATAATTAAAATGCAGTATTTTATCAATTCAATTTATATCAGTACTATTCTGATTTCAACTTGTAATGGCAATGCTTGTAAATGTGAAGTTTTTTGACATTTGACGTGTTCTGAATGATCTGGGTTTTGGTGGGGTGCCAGAAGTGGGCACTGTTAGTAGAGTGTGGAGGGTTGGAGAGTGATAGATAGCTCCATCGTTGCTGCCTGTCTTCATTGATGTAGGGCTCATTCTGCTGTGATTATAGGGAATGGCTGCTGGAAAAACAGGCAAAGAAATCCATACTGTGAACTCATTAGCCAGATTTATGGTCATACTCAAAAGCAGTAGGGCTCAGGTTGGAAACATAGGTTGTTCTTTTAGGGAAAGTGAGTTTGGTTGTCAGCTATTAAGCTGTGGTATTCCTGGGAAATGTAGAGTAGTCTGAATGTGAAGCATGTAGTGAACTGATCAGACAAAAGACGTGAGCTGCTGGGGATGAGCAGGATGGCCACATCTTTGGTCTTGCACTTAGAGGTGATAAGGATACTCCATAGGGTGGATGAGTGTTCTAGCAAGTGAGTATAGAGAGGAGATTTAGTATTTGAGATGCGCTAGTTAGAAGAGTAAGAATCATAGGAATAGGGTTAACAGTCAAGATCACAAGATGTTAAATTGTGCCAGTGTAGCTGAGAATTCATTCGAATTCAGAACTGAAGCATTCAAATAACTGAACAGTAATTGCAATTGCTGGGGTTTCTTAGGATGTTTGTGACAATAATCTTTGAGCAGTTCGAATGGCATGACAAGGTGAGATATGACAGTACAGGGAAGAGGATAAAAAGTGAGGTCAGGAAATTATGGATACTTATGTGGTGCTGTGCGTCAATGCGTCAGACAGCAAAGTCGTTTGAACTGCTAGGTCGTTGGTTCAAGCTCAGCAGCTGCTCCTTGGAAACCCTATTACAGGGTCGCTACCGGTTGGAACCGACTTGATGGCACTTAGTAACAGCAACAAAATTTTAAGGAAAGAAGTAAGGAATTTGAGTATTGGCCGATTTAGTTTCAAGTATCAAAAGAGCCAAAGGAGAATGACAGTAAGTGGGTTATTTAGAAATATTAGATTTAAGTACAATTTCAAGAGGTAGCATGTGATGAAGAACCTATAGTACTGAAGGAAGAAGTCCAAGCTGCATTGAAGGTACTGGTGAGAAACTAGGCTCCAGGAAGTGGCAGGAATACAAATAGAAATCACTGAATAAACTTATGGAGCGCTGGAGGCGCTCACTCAACTATGCCAAGAAATTTGGAAGACCTGGCCAACTTAAGTGGACGAGATCCATATTTGTGCCTATTCCAAAGAGGTGAACCAATGGAATGTGGATATCATCTAACAATATTAATATCGCATGCAAGGAAAATTGTGCTGAAGGCAGTTGAAAACGACTGCAACAGTACATTGATACAAAACTGCCCAAAACTCAAGTTGGACTCAGAAGATGATGTGGGGCTAGGGATATCATTGCTGATGTCAAATGGATCTTAGCTAAAAGCAGAGAATACCAGATAGATGTTTACTTGTGCTTTATTGACTCTGCAGAGGCCTTTTGACTATGTGGATCATGACAGGTTATGGATAAATATTGAGAAGAGTGGGTATTCCAGAACACTTGATTGTGCTCCTGGGGAACCTATACATAGACCACAATGCAGTTGTAACAAAGAAAAAACAAGGGGATATGGAATGAATTAAAATCAGGGAAGGCGTACACCAGGGTTGTATTATTTCAACATACTAATTCAGTCTGTATGTTGAATAAGATGAAAAGCTGGACTATATTGAAGAAGAGCAGGATGTTGGCAGAAGAGTCAGGATATTGGAAGAAGGCTTAACAACTTGTGATATGCAGATGATTCAGCCTTACTAACTGAAAGTGACGTGGACTTAAAATACATTTTTGATAGAGATCAAATACCACCTCCTTTAGTATTCCTTGCAACTCATAGTGTCAAGAAAATTAAAGTCCTTACAACTGGAACAGTAAATAACATCATGATAAATGGGGAAAAGTGTGAAGTTGGCAGAGGCTTTATTTTGCTTAGATCCACTATCAGCACTCACAGAGGCAGAAATCAAGACATCAGACAACGTATTGTACTAGGCAAATCTGTTGCACAGGACCTCTTTAAGGTCTTGAACAGCAAAGATACCAGTTTGAGGACAAAGGTACGCCTGACCCAAGCCATGGTGTTTTAATTTGTTTCATTTGTTGTTAGGTGCCATAGAGTTGGTACCGACTCATAGCAACCTGATGCACAGCAGAACGAAACACTGCCCGATCCTGGGCCAACCTCACTATTGTTGCCACACTTGAGTCCGTTGATGCTGCCACTTTGTGAATTCAATCTCACTGGGGTCTTCCTCTTTTTCTCTGACCATCCACCCTACCAAACATGATTTCCTTCTCTAGCGACTGGTCCCTCCTGACAATATGTCCAAAATATGAGAGATGAAGTTTGGCCATCCTGGCCTCCAAGCAGCAGTCTTCACCTCTCATACTTCGGACATATTGTCAGATGGGACCAGTCACTGGAGACGGATATCATGTTTGGTAAGGTGGAGGGTCAGAGAAAAAGAGGAAGACCCCCAACAAGATGGATTGGCCAAGTGGCAGCATTGATGGACTCAAGTGTGGCAACAATAGTGAGGTTGGCCACGGATTGGGCAGTGTTTCGTTCTGCTGTGCATCAGGTTGCTATGAGTCAATACTGACTCAATGGCGCCTAACAACAACAACAACAGCAACATCAACAAGGAAGTTAGGAGAAGGTGGTACACAAGCTGAGTTAGGGCAGTAGTTAGAATAAAATTTTCTGGTTGGCATGGGGTCTAGGCCACCTTTCAACCTTTTCATTTGAATTTGTTGTCAAAGTTGCAGACTTCTATACAGGAGAAATTTTACCCCAAAACTTGATCATTTAATTCGATAATTTATTGTACCAGGTCCTTTCTTAGGCAGTTGCTGCTGTTGTAGTGGAGAGACCACGTAGCAACTATGCTCTCAGGTGGGGTTGGAGTCTAACTGAGGAGATGAATAATAACCAGAGTAAACACAGTAAAGGAAAAGACACGGTAATTAAGATGATAAAATAACTACCACCAGCTCATTTGGGGAGGGGCATTTTGGATTATGTTGAGTTATTAAATCTATTTCTTTTTGCACAAGTGTTTCAAGTTGTGTTGATGATGATCACAACATATTTACATTGTGGTCCTCCAGCTCCTGGTGTCATGTTCAACAAGATTGTAAAAAGCTGAACATAATATTCAAGTTATTTTTGCTTTGCGAATTACTTTCCATTAAATGTGGTGCTGTAGGATAAGCACTGATCTTGCTAACCGCAAGGGTGCTGGTTCAGACCTACCAGCCGCTTTTCAGAAGCAGGGTTGCTATGAGTAAGAACTAACTCAACGTCACTTAACAAAAATAGCAACAACTGTATCCTCTTGTGATAAACTTTTATTGATGTTTTGTGACATTATTCATTTTAGGCCTTTTGAGCGTGAAGAAATACAGTATGTTTGAAAATCCTCTTGCTTGTTTTCTCACAGGTGAAATATATGGAGGAAGAACGAAATTTTACCACTGAGCAAGTGACTGCCATGCTCTTGTCCAAACTGAAAGAGACAGCAGAAAGTGTTCTGAAGAAGCCAGTTGTTGATTGTGTTATTTCGGTGCGTTTGATTCAATCACGTGTTTTTTGAACTTTGGAGAATAATACATTGATAATTGTTAACAGTAACCTTGCTTTTTATAAAGAAAACAGAGTACCAGGATTCAAAGTTAAAAATATAAAAAGGGTATAGAAATCTTAGAGTCCTCTCTTACCTAGTAAGCATTGCAATCAGACTTTTGCTCTCCAGAGGTTACCAAGTTTTCTACTTTGTTACAAAAGGTTTTTAAGTACCCATGCAAATACATACTGGGCCTTTGTTTCTCTTAACAGGTTTTGGACAGTTTATCTCATATTTGTTCTGTGTTGTTGGTAGGTGCCATGTAGTCGGTACCAACTCATAGTGACCTTATGCACAGCAGTAGTACATAAAAAGCTTCATTCTTTTTAGTGGCTTTACAGTATTGTAGTTTATGTGTACGGAGCTTCCACAAGATAAGGACTGTATTGCGAACCACAAGGCTCATGGTTTGAGCCAGCCAGCTGCTCTGTGGGAGAGAGATAAGACTTTCTCCTCCCTTGAAGAGTTAAAGCCTTGGAAACCCTATACCAGGGTTGTTATGTGTCGGAACTGACTTGATGGCACTTAACGACAGTAGCCTCTAGTTTGTTTTCTATTATGAAGAATACTCTAATGAAAAACCTTGAGCAAATATTTTGCTCTTGTGTGATTACATTTGTAGCTTATATAGGAAAAGTTCCTAGAAGTGTGATTTATAAGAAAAGGATTGTATGCATTGCAATTTTAACAGCTATTGCTTAGTTTCCCCTTGTGCGCCATTTTAACTTTTTGTTCTTTTGGATAGTATTTTTTGAATAAATATATATGTAACAGAGTGTTTGAAATTTCAGCTATACATTTATAGTTCAGAGACATTAACTATGTTTATCATGTTGTTCAACCATCAACCTCTCCCATATCCAGATTATACCATCATCCTTAATGTTATTCTTAGGTGCCATCAGTTCCAACTGATAGGGACCATATGCACAGCAGAATGAAACACTGCCTGGTCCTTTGTTATCCTCACAATTGTTGTTAAGTTTGAGCCCATTACTGCCACAGTGCCATTCCATCGCATTTGGGGTCTTTTTTTCGCTGACGCTCCGCTTACCAAGCATGATGTCCTTCTTCAATTTTTCTCCATTTATCATGATGTTATTTTTTGGTTCAGTAGTGAGGATTTTTGTTTTCTTTATTGAGGTGCAACTCATACAGAAGGCTATGGCTTTTGTTCTTGATCAGTAAGTATTTTAAATCTTGTTTGCTTTTGGCAAGCAAGATTGTATCATCTGTATATCCCAGGTTGTTAATGAGTCTTCTTCAGCATACAGATTTAATAAGTATGGTGAGAGGATACAACACTGGTGCATACCATACCATTTAGGATTCCCTAGTTCTGGAAACCCTATACAGGGTTGCTTTGGGTCAGAATTGACTCGATGGCACTTGACAGCAAGTTCTGTTATAACAACTGCTTCTTGGTCTGTGTACAAGTTCCTCATGAGCCCAATTAAACGTTCGGCAATACCCATTCTTTTCATTGTATCCATAGCTTGTCATTATCCACACACTTTCAAAAGTCTTTGCATAATTTGTAAAATACAAGTGAGTAAGGTATTCTCTGCTTTCAGCTAAGATCCATCTGACATCAGCAGTGATAATCCCTAATTCCATGTCCTCTCTCACACTTCGTTGAATTACTGGTAGTTCTTGGTCCATGCACTGTTGGAGTCGTTTTTGAATTACTTTCAGCAAAACGTATCTGATATTAATGATACTGTTGGATGATTTCTGCATTTGTTCGAGTCACCTATTTTTATTGTGGGCACAAATATGGATCTCTTCTAATTGGGTGGCCAAGTAGCTGTCTTCCAAATTTTTCGCCATAGGTTGAGTGTTGCATATACCAGTGCTGCCTCAGTTTGTTGAAAGTTTGTACTTCGTCAATTCATGGAACCTTGTTTTTTGCCAATGCATTCATTGTAGTTTGGACTTACTCCTTCAGCACTATTGGTTTTGATCATGCACATGCACTCCTCTTCAAATGGTTGAACATTGACCATTTGTTTTTGGTAGAGTGACTCTGTGTATATACCTTCCATCTTTTGATTCTTCCTGCATCACTTAATATTTTGCCAGTAATTTCAGTATTGCATGTTGAGGCTTGCATTTTTTCAGTTCTTTCAACTTGAGATATGCTGAATGTTTTCTACCCATTTGATTTATTAATCCAGGTCTTTTAGCATTTTATTGTATTGCTTGACTTTGCCTTCTCGAGCTGTCTTTTGAATTTTTATGTTCAGCTCCTTTACCTGCTCATTTCTTTCATTCGCTTTAGCATTTCTACATTGGAGAGCAAGTTTCAGAGTTTTTGCTGACTTATTTTGGTCTTTTCTTTCTTGTTGTTTTAATGGCCTTTTGCTTTCTACTTGTAAGATATTCTTGATGCCATCCCTCGACTCTTTTGCCCTTTGGTCATTAGGGTCTAATGCATCAAATCTGTTGAGATGGTTTGTAAATTAAGATGGGTAAACTCAAGGTTGTATTTTGGCTCTCCTGAGCTTAGTTTCAGGTGGGATATTTTGATTCACATGGATTTGTTTTAAATTTCCTTCAACTTCCACCTGAACTTGCATATGAGTAATTAATGGTGATTTCCACAGTCTTATCTCTGGGTTGCTTTTACCTGATGATTTTGTGCTTTTCCACCATCTTTGCCCACACATGTGGTCAGTTTTATTTCTGTGTATTTAATCCAGTGAGGTTCATGTGTATGGTAGCGTTTGGTGTATTTGCAATGAGTAAGTCATTAGTCTTGAAAAATTGTTTCATCATTTCTATCACCAAGGCCATATTTTCCAACTACTGATCATTTCTCTTTGTTTCTAACCATGGCATTTTAGTCTCCAGTAATTATCAAGATGTCTAGATTGCATATTTGATCAATTCTCAGACTGAAGAAGTTAGTTGTTGTTGTTGTTAGGTGCCATCGAGTTGGTTCAGTTTTATCTTCACTGGCTTTAATGGTTGGTGCGTACATTTGAATAGTAATAATTAACTGGTCTTCCTACTTGTTGTTAAGTGCCATTGAGTCGGTTCCAACCCATAGCGACCCTGTATAGGGTTTCTTGTTCTCCCATTAGAATTTCTGTTTTTAATAGTCAAATGTATTATTGTCTTTTTCTTTTCTTTTGGCTGTGGTTTTTGTTATTTAGAAAGGCCTTCCTTACTCTGATGGTAAAATTTCTCTTTCATTTTATTTTTTATATTTAAATTTTGATTTGAAATTATTTTTTATAAGGTAAAGATGCAACTATATTTTTTTCCTGTAATACTGTCCATTTGTCCCAGTGGTCCTACTGGATAGTCTAACTTTTCTTTACTTGTTTTAAGTTCATCAATCTTACACGGAATAAGTTCAGGTTTTGAGGGCATTTCTGGATTTTACTGTCATAGCTGTTTGTTGGCAGGTACATTTTAAGTGAGGACTTTAAAAAATGCATATTTAATTAAATATGTGCTATGGTGAAAAACACAAAGTGTAAACTAATATATAAAAACCATGTTACCATTGTGTAGTGAGAGGAAGAAAAAGGCTTATAAATGAACATACATGTGAGGGGATTTCAAAAAGTTCATGGAAAAAAATTTCCTGTTTTTTTTTTTTTTTTTTTAAGTTGTGAATTTTGAGAGAACATTGGTTTTATTTACACTTATAATTTCATTGCAATGATTACAACCAAATGAGGACTTTTTATAATAGTAAATTCAAAATAATTTTTTAGGTTCCTTGTTTCTATACTGATGCAGAAAGACGATCAGTGACAGATGCAACACAGATTGCTGGTCTCAATTGTCTGCGGTTAATGAATGAGACAACTGCAGGTAAGAGGGACTATTGATCAGTTTTTTGACTTGCTCTTAAAGGTTGTGAAATCTCTTGCTCTTTATTTTGCTTGAGTTACTGCCATCCTTGCTTACCACCTATATGGTACAGTATCTTTGGATGCTGTGTTACAGATAAAGAATTAGTCTGAACACTGCCTTTTTTCATCATAATTACTTTGATATTTAATCACATATTTGTTGAGAAATAGGCACATTTCTTGTGTGTGTAGCAGGGAGAGGATTGTGAGAATTTTGAGATAGCACAGGGATCGAAGATAACTGGGAAAATATGTTTAGAAAGCATGCAGGTTGATTTTGTAAAGATTCAAGGGCCATTAGAAACCAAAGCACCAATGGAAACTAGCATTTTCAGTGAAAGCTGCATTTTTCATGGCTAGATTTTAAAGGTTATAAAGACCGTAAAGGCAGAGGTTATAAAGATTCTACCTGAAATATATTGCCTGATGCAATCCCATTCACTGTACACAAAACTTATTTATCCCTACTTGAATGACTTTAAAATTTACTACTAAAGTGATGCTAAAATATTGAATTTTTTTTCTTGTGTAGTTGCTCTTGCATATGGAATTTACAAACAAGATCTTCCTGCCTTCGAGGAGCAACCAAGAAATGTAGTTTTTGTAGACATGGGACATTCTGCATATCAAGTTTCTGTATGTGCATTTAATAGAGGGAAACTGAAAGTAAGTATATGTCTTCCTGAATATGATTTTTTGAGTATAGTAATTAGGAATTTTTGAGAGACAACTTAAATGATTGGTTAAATAATTTTGTTTTACTGATGGAAATATGCTATGGGTCATTTGAATTAGAAATTAAGTTTTCAATAGGCTGTTGTAAGTCAAAATAACTTTTTAAGAGGTGGAATGGTCTGATGCCAAGAGCATAGACTTCAGGGAAAAAGCTGGTAAGATTCTTGAGTTTCCTTTTTCTGTCTCTAGTACAGGGAGAATGATGTTTACCTTTTACTCATTTTAGGAGGTTTCTAACATAGTCATTCCCTTGGTATATTTTATACTGAGGACTTGGGGACGAGAAAGGAGCTCATGTAGGTTTTGGAGGAAAATTGGAGTGACTAGGAATTTGGATGCCAAAAGAATGCAGGTTCCTGGTTTGAAACTCAGAAGGAAGCAGCTTTGTACACAGAAAAATCTATTAGAGTAAAGGGAGGAAGGGTGATCATAGTTTGTTGATTTATAATTTGTTGATTTTATACTAGTTTCACAGTGGGATTAAAATCTGTTGTTTAGTTAGTTACATTATTTTATCTAGAATTTACGTGAGGACTAAGGCAAGGTTTTGCTTTAATCATTTGCATTGTGTATCAAATGTTCTTGAATTTTACCCTTTTGGGTATTGGTAAGGTTGTTGTTGTTGTTGTTGTTAAGTGCCGTCGAGTCGGCTTCGACCCATAGCGACCCTGAATAGGGTTTCCGAGGCTGTAAATCTTTACGGGAGCAGATCGCCTCATCTTTCTCCCGCGGAGCAGCTGGTAGTTTCGAACTGCTGACCTTCCGGTTCACAGCCCGATTCGTAACCACTACGCTACCAGTACTATTTTATTCCCAAATTAAATATTTGGCAGATTTCGAGGGCATCTTGGAATTACTTGTTGCAGTCCTGTTTCTTTGAACAATAGATTTTGTTCTGTTTTATATTGGTTCTAGTTTATGGCTAGCTTTTTTTCCCCCCACCCATTTTTACAAAAAGCATGCAAATCATTTGGAATGTTTGAAAATTGAGAGGTTTGTGATTTTTATAGGTATCAGTGATACACCAAGTATAATTCTTAGTATTTTAATGAATAAAGTTCTATTTTAGTCATTAATAAAATAATTCCTAAATTTCATTGTATACTTCTGCTTTTTGAAATAAAAGATACTCGCTTATGATTTGACCTTAGTTTAGATCAGAATGATGTATACTAATGACTGTTAAGTATTTGATTTTCTGAGTTGTCCTTTACTTTCAACTGTCATTTGTCAGTTTTCCAATCATCTTGATTACTTTAAAATTTAATTATAAGAGTATTTATTACTTTTTCCCAACCTTGGAAAACATGTGTGAAGAAAAAATATCTATAATCTTGTCATTCTTAATATTTTGGTATGTTTCCCTTCTAGTCTTTTGAGAAAATTAAGTTGAAATCATTATTAAGTTCTGTGCCTTGCTCTTTTCTTTTAACATATTAATAAAATTCTCCCATGGCACTTAGCATTCTTTGAAGAGACTGTTTTATTGATTTTATTTCCTTATAATAATGTTCTCACATATTTACTTCCTTTATTGATTCTCATGGTAATCAAGTTTATTTCTAGTTTACTGAGAGATTTGGCAAATGAATAACCCAAGCCAGTTAGATATCTATGTTAATAAAAGCAAATTGCATTGAGTTAAAGCATTTTCCCCAGTAGTAAACTTCATAGGTCTTATGGCTTTGGCATTATTAAAATTTTGTGATAGCATTAAGACTAGGACAATGCACATAACAACATGGTAGCGTATTTGAGTCTTCTTTGGTATTGAATAGAGATTGATGTACATTTTTTGTAGGCAGTCTGGTTCTTGTGAAGATATATTCTAAACCTTGCTCCTGAATGTAGAGTAACTGAAGTGAATGGAAAAAAATGATGAAGTAAAAGAGCAGAACAGATTTCAAAGGACCCACTGGAGAAAACAAAGTAAAATAGTATAATGAAATGTTAGAACACCAAGGAGGAAAAGCACCTTTGGCATTTCTCAAGCTGTACAAACTGACTAAAAACATTTAGGCCTTGTGTAGCAGTTTTGAAGGATTCTCTGGGCAAAATACTAGCAAAGCAGGAAGCATCAAAAGAAAACGGAAGGGCCCAGGAAACATCAAGGCAAGTGGTAAGGTCCCCTCAGTGCATACCCCCTTCCAAGACTAAGACTCAATGGGAATACACACTCTGATTGGTGACCACGCTCGTCACCGGTAAGGGAAAGTGAGGGAAAAACAGCAATGAAGCGGCGAGCTAAGCCCCACAATGTTCATTAGACTTTTGTGAACCCAGGTCAAGACCTGGTTGGCCAGCAGTGTGGCAAGACCTGGGGACTCTTGGGCCCAGAGTCAGTGACATAGCCACAGAGGAAAATAATGAAGAGTGAAGCGTCTAGCTGATAAGAAGAGAGGGCATATGCACAAGAACACCCACACTTGCAGATAATACCCACTTGACCTGGCTTTAATGACTGGATGATCAGAGCTCAACCAGAAGAAGAAAGAAGAGGAAAAAAAAGAGTAATCTAATACAATTTGATGAACTTGACCTACACCTATGGAAGCAGTAGCTCAAAAGAGGGAACAAATCCTAACAGCAAGAATCATTCCCACCCCTCTGTACACAGAGTAGACAGGGATGGGCAACTTGAACATTGGCTACCCAAAATTGGGGGCCAGGGGGGGCAGGCTACAAAGGCAAGAAGTGACTGGCTTACAAGCTTTCAAGAGGGAACCTGGAGCCAGAGAGCCAGGAGGAAGGCAGAATCTCCAGTGAGTAGTATCCAATCTGTCTATGCGGGGCTGATGAAATGAAATGCAGATTGGGTCTCTTGTGATACAATAGTGAATGATTGTTACCAGGACTGATTGTGAGGGTTGGAAATGTAAAAGTAGATGTTTTATAGCAAGGAAGGGAGTGATTAACTTTCCAGTCTAGGAGCGGAGGTCCCTAGGGCCATTAACGGAGGAGAGCAGGACCCTAGCCAGAGAAGCAGTGATACCTGACATGGAGCGATGGAGCAACTGGGACTTTAGATCCAGAGAGGGATCCCCAGAGAGGGATCGGGGGTGGGGGTGGGGGTGGGGGTGGAATGTAGGGGGCAGGTTTGCAGGGCATACCCTTTGGTTGGTTGATGATTCATGGAGGGGATTGTAACCATGGCAATGAGACGATATACAATAGAATGAATGTAAAGCTAATGTTCTCCCATGTAAACTATCACATAATTCACAATAAAACATTAAAAATAAAACTACTACTAAAAACGATCATTCTTCTGCCAGCCGTGGCAAAAATCACAATCGTATGGTTACAGAGTTAGTAAATAGGAAACTCTGCAAATACAAAATAAAATGAGTAAATACCATCCAAAAAAAAAAAACAGGAAGAAGATGGAAGGAATCTCAATGTGACTTATAGCATATGATGAAGAACTGATGTATTGAAGGAAGAAGTCCAACCTGCATTGAAGATATTGTGCAAAACATAACAAAAACAGGCTCCAGGATTTGGTAGAATGACAAGTGAGGTATTTTCAGAAATGTATGCTGTGTTGGAAGCACTTGTTTGTCTCTGCCAAGAAGTTTGAAAGATAGCTACTTACCTTACTAACCAGTTGAAAGAGACATGTTTGTGCTCATTCTAGAGAAAGATGGTCCATCAGAATGGGGAAATTACTGAATAATATCATTAATAAGACATTCAAGTATAATTTCCTGAAGATACTTCAGAAAAGGCTGCATAGTTACAAAAATAAAACGAAACAGGGAATTGCCAAAAATTCAGTCAAACCAGATTTAAAGGAGAACTTGGAATAACGGATGTCATTGCTCATGTCAAATAGATCTTAAACTGAAAGCAGAAAATACCAGAGGGTTGATTACTTGTGTTTTACTGACTATGCAACATTATTTGGTTTTGTGGATCATAACAAATTGTAGGTAACATTGTAAAAATTGGGAATTCAAAAACATTTCCACTGTGCTCATATGGAGCCTGTACATGGACCAAGAAGCAGTCATTTGAATATAACAAGGAGATACTGTGTGGTTGAAAATTAGGAAAGGTGTACATCAGGGTTATATCCCTTTACCACACTTAGACTCAGTTTGTACACTAAGCACATACTTTGAGAATCTGAATTTACATAAAGAAGGCAACAGCATTAGAATTGGAAGAAGATTGGTTAGCAATCTGAGATGCAGAAGATACAACCTTGCTTGCTAAAAATGAAGAGGACTTGAAGTGCTTACTGGTGAAAATCCAAGACCACAGCCCTTGGTATGGATTACATCTCAATTCAAAGAAAACTGACATCTTCACAACTGGACTAAAAACATGATAAAATGAGAAAATATTGATGTTTTCAAGGATTTCAAGGATCTGTCACCAGCACCTATGGAAGGCAGTAGTCAAGAAATAAAATGAAATTATTACATTGGGTAAACCTGCAAAGGAGTCCTGGCGTGGTGCTGTGGGTTAATGTGCCAGACTGCAAACCTGTTTAAACTGCAAGGTCGGCAGTTCAAGCTCACCAGCTGCTCTTCAGAAACCCTGTATAGGGTCACTGTGGGTTGGAATCGACTCATAAAAAGTGCTAAAAAGCAAACATGTCAACCTCAGAATTAAGGTGTGCTTCATGCATGTGAACCTTGAATAGTGAATAGGGAAGACCAAAGAATTATTGATGTCTTTAAATTATAGTGTTAGTGAAAAATATTGAGTATGTCATGGACTGCCCGAAACAAGAACAAATCTATATTGGAAGAAGTACGGTTGGAATGTTCCTTCCTTGAAGTGAGAATGGCACTTCATCTTACATACTTTGAACTTGTTTTTGATGAGACCAGTTGCAAGAGAAGGACATTACGATTGGTAAAGTTAGAGGGTCATTGAAAAGGAGACCCTCAAGGAGATGGGATTGTGACACAGTGGATGCTACAATGGACTCACGTAGCAGTAATTGTGAGGATGAGATGGAACTAAGTGTTTTATTTTTGTACATAAAGTCACTATGAGTCAAAATCCACTTGACAGCATCTTTGAACAATATATATATATATTTTAATTTACAGTTGTATGTCTGACATCTGACATGTATGTGCTATTTGGATTCAGGTTGGAATTGTTGTTATTAAGTACTGTGGAGTCGGATCCGACTCATAGTGACCATGCACAGGGTTTCTGAGGCTGCAGATTTTTACGGGAGCAGAAAGCCTCATCTTTGTCCCGTGGAGCAGCTGGTAGTTTCGAACTGCTGACCTTGAGGTTAGCAGCCAGATTCGTAACCACTATGTTATACCAGAGCTCCTTCAGGTTGGAGTAGGGGGGAGCTAAAAAATTCTGGAATTAAGGTGACTTGGTTTTGATTTTTGTTTTATGAGTTGAAACTATCTGATTTTTCTAGACCTGCAGCATTATTTGCAAATCAGGAATTAACGAACTTGATTTTAACAGCATTATTAAAACAAAGATTTAGTATTATAGTTGTATAATGTGTATATTTTTAAGCTTTAATGTTCTTATTTTGAAAATTAAGAATTTGCCTATTTACTTGACTTGATTCATTTTTGGATTGTTATATTCTCTTCTAAGGTTCTTGCCAGTGCATTTGATACAACACTGGGAGGCAGAAAATTTGATGAGGTACTAGTGAATCACTTCTGTGAAGAATTTGGAAAAAAATACAAGCTAGATGTAAAGTCCAAAATTCGTGCATTGTTACGGCTGTCACAGGAGTGTGAAAAACTCAAGAAATTAATGAGTGCAAATGCTTCAGACCTGCCTATGAACATCGAATGTTTTATGAATGATGTTGATGTATCTGGAACTATGAATAGGTAACCATATTCATTATTTGTTAAACCAGACAAAATAGAGTTTTTTCTCCATTTATATTAGCCTTAATTATAAGGAACCCTGGTGGCACTGTAGGATAAGCACAGGACTACTAACCGCATGGTCAACAGATCAGACCCACCAGTTGTTATGTGGGAGAAAAATTAGGCTTATATAGGGTTGCTATGAATTGCAGTTGACTTACTGGCAGTTGGAGTAGTTTTTTTTTTATTTATTAGCCTAAATAAGCTAACTATTGAATTCATTATTATTATTACATGATAATTTCAGTTCTGTAGGAGAAAAATTGTTCCAGGCCCTGGGTATTTACCTCTTTGTAAGGTAAAGGTTGAGTTATTTTAATAATGTAAGCTGTGATGCTGTGGGATAACTGGACGACAAGTTGATTTCAATCTCAGGGTCAGCACTTCAGATTCACCAACCACTCCTTGGAAATCCTGTACAGGGTCACTATGCGTTTGGACCAACTTGACTGGGTGTTAACAACGTTTTGTTTAATTGAATATGAATGCTTTGTTCTGATTAGTTGTGTATTGCAGGAAGTTACAGTTTTTTACATGTGCACGTTGTTATTAATTATTGCCTTTGAGTTGGTTCGAACTCATAGGGTAGGCATTCTATATGGGGTTTCCGTGGAGTGGTTGGTGGGTTTTAACTGCCAGTCTTGTGGTTAGCAGTCCAGTACTTATCAACCAGTGCCGTACCAGGACAACAGATAACATGCACGTACTATACATTCATTACCAGTTTTCATAAAATCAGGAGATAATTCTTTAATACGGAATCAGATTCAATTTGATTTAATCACTGATTCAGAAATAGATCTCTGCGTGTTTCAGGATTACTTGAGGGCTACAATACTTGTTGCATGGCGTTGTCAAAATTCTGGGTAATTGGTATTTCAGGGCTATCCTCAGAAATATCCAGAATGTCATCATTACTAGCTGATTAGTTTGTGTGGATGATGGAAGTAAGATAATGCTTTTGGCTTGAACACTACTGGTGGAATGGAATTAAGATTGATTGCTTGCTTGGGGAAATGCCACCTAAGCTTTGATATCATTGAATTGAAGTGGCATTTATTATTGCCTAGAATTAAATTTGTAGTCTCTTCTATCACCTGTTTGAATGCGGTCATTTTTGTTTTTACTAAGCAATTTTATGTGTGTGTTGTGGGGGCTTGGGTGTGAAGCACATCAATATGTGTTTTCAAAAACCATTAGTGAAGTGTTTATGTGATTATGAGAGCTGAATAATCCTTGGAAATAGTTTATGGTTTTTAATTGCATATGCACTTTTTTGCAGTTGTATCGCAGTTACTTTATTAGAACATATATAGATAGCCCTTCTGTGCACACAAACAGAAACAGCCCTGCTATCCTCACGTGTGGGGCCTCAAAAATTTTGTGTGAAAATTCCATTAACTTTTTTTTTATTTTAAGGTTTTTATTGTGAATTGCGTGATAGCTTACATGGGAGAACATTGGTTTTATATTCTTGTTTCTTTGCGTTGATTACAATATGCCGCATGCATCATCATTGAACAGTATTTGCTTCTGATCCCTCTGTTTGTGTTTTTTTTTGGTGTGGGGTGGTGTACACAAAAACACTCAGGAATAAATAATCATTTAAAAAACAAAAGGGCACATTCTGCAAGTCTGCCACCTGGCCACAAACTTGGCCGCCAGCTCACAGCCTTTCTCTTTCCATGAGTCTAGAGTCTCAGCTGCTCTATTTCTCCATGTCCTCATCTCTGTCTCCTTAGGATAGGGTCTCATATTCTGCTCGTGCTCTTCTCCCTTGATGGTCCTAGGATCCTCTGTTCCTGGATTGTAAGATTAACTGTTCCCCCCTTTTTGTTACACATCTACCTTTACAATTGTGAAAGTCACAGTTAGTCATGATAATTATTACTCACTATTGAATCATAAGAATCTTATCCCCATTTCTTTTCACTAGATTCATCTAGGTAAGATGAAAACTATTCAGTGGGGATTCTGCCTTTGAAACTAAACTCCCTCTTGAATACTTGTAAGCCAGTTGTCACATCATGCCTTTATAGCCCCCCCTCCCATTTTAGGTAGCCAATGTCTAAGTTACCCATCCCTATCTACCCTGTATACAGAGGGATAGGATTGATACTTGCTGTGAAGACAGACTTCCTTCCTTTTGAGCTACTGCATCCAGGTCAAGTTTATCAAATTGAAGCAATTTACACTTGTTTCCTTTAACAAAAAAAATTTTTTTTTTAAATCTTCCTCTAGTCGAGTTTGGATTTTCAAGCCATAGAAGCTAGGTTGAATGGTTATTACTTACAAGTTTGGGTGTTCTTGTACGTCTCCCTTCACTTCATATCAATTGGATGCCCTTCATGGTTATGACCATGTCCATGGGCCCATTAGCTTTTTTTTTTTTTTTTTTTTTTCTTACAAAGTTTTTATTGTGAGGTTTACATGGGAGAATATCAGCTTTACACTCATCGTATCATATTTCGTTTAATTGCAGTGATTACAATGCCCTCCATGAATCATCAAATAGCCCCATTAACTTTTAATTAAAAATTTCCACAAACTTTTTGAAGTCCACCTTGTATAGATACATTCAATCCAAAACCGAGTTCACGGCTATGGAGTCAATTTTGACTCAGTGACATTGTAGGACAGAGTAGAACTACCCCGTGGGGTTGTATATGCTGTACCATTATAGGACCAGATTGCCACGTTGGGTGAGTTTGAAGCCCTGATCTTTTGATTGGCAGCTGAGTGCTTAACCATTGTGTAACTCAGGCTCTCTCCCATAAATACCATAGTCAAGAAACACCATATTTAGCAGTCCTGTTCTGTAACATAGGGTTTGCCATGAGGTGGAATTGACTTGTTGGTGATGATACAGTGAATATGTTTAACGTTTTAAATAACTGTCAGAACATTACATCTTTTCCAAAGTGGTTGCACCATTTTCCATTTCCATCAACAGTTGTTTAAGGGTTTCAAGTTCTCTATACCCTTATCTTGATGTTGTTTGTCTTATTGAACATAGCCCTCCATTGCACACAAAAATGTCATGTGTTGTGATAACTGCCTTTTGTTTCAAATAGAGGCAAATTTCTGGAGATGTGCGATGATCTCTTAGCTAGAGTGGAACCACCACTCCGAAGTGTTCTGGAGCAAGCCAGTAAGTATTACGATTGAATTGCACATTTTACTCTGAAAAATGTTGAGTATACCTTTTGTTTCAAATAGTCCTACAAATTTCAGTGTTTTATTACACTTCTTTTGATCTTTTTATCTTCCCCTGTAAGCTTCCCTTGCCCCAAGTAAGATTTTGATAATGTCCAGGGAAATATAAAACAAGAAACCTAATTCAGACACAAAAATGGGGATATAAATGTCTCAATTATTTTATGGTGGTAAGAATTGTTCTTTGTTTTGCTGATGTGTATCCTGTAAGCTTTTTCTGTCAGTGAAACAAAAAAATGCTAGTTTGCTAAGTAGAGATCACTTCAGTGGGTAGGTGCTTGTCTGTATGCCTTCTTTCTCTTTCTTCTCAGGTCAGGGGTAACCCAATTATTTTGAGGCTCTATTATCTTCCCTATGACTAGCCTACTTGTCTTGGACTGTTTCAGAGATTGCAGGGCCTGTACATATAGTGCCAGGACATTGGAGTATTCTTGCCTATCATGTACTAAATCCTAGTGTTCCTCTGCTCTTCCATCATTATTAGGAGAATCAAAGCACACCTTCATGTGTTCCATATGCTGTGTGTATGTGTGTGTGTTGACATGGGGAGCTAAGGCATTGGTGGAGCTTAGTTCTATACTGGTGAATTGCTACCGGCATCATCATTGTTCCTCTTTGATTGTAACATACTAATTTAAAGATTCTTTTAATCTAAATGTCTAATTATTTTTAAATAGAGTTAAGGGAAGAAGATATTTATGCAGTAGAAATAGTTGGTGGTGCCACAAGAATCCCTGCAGTAAAAGAGAAGATCAGCAAATTCTTTGGTAAAGAAGTTAGTACAACATTAAATGCTGATGAAGCTGTCACTCGTGGCTGTGCACTGCAGGTGAGTTTTCTTTTCTTCACAGGCAGCTGTGGACATAGGTCATCGTAACAAGATGGGAGCAGCTATGTATCCAGCTAATAAATAACTTGAGATTAGCTCAGGGAGATATCACAGTATTAGATTCTGAAACTTATGTTTTAAAATGGATAATGAAAGTGGTGCTCAAGGAAGGAATTGTGTTCTATTACATGTAATAAGATAAACTCATTAACTGGAAATGTAGATTAACTGTAAGCCTAAAATACTACTGATTTGACAGATCATCATTGTCTATATAGGTGAAATAGTGCATTGATTTTAAAAGGTTGAATGAAGTTAATGGAAAAATAAAGAACAACTAAGTTATAATAGGTAAGTTAGCAAATATAGATCCTTATAAAACTGTTTACTAAGACACTCTATCAGTGGAAGTATTTAAGGAAGATCATTGATGATGTTGTTTTAAATTGTCACTTGTAGGTCTAGTGATATTATCAGCTTATAATGTTTATACTTAACAAATTTTAAATATTACTATTTTAGTGTGCAATCTTATCTCCTGCTTTCAAAGTCAGAGAATTTTCTATCACTGATGTAGTACCATATCCAATATCTCTGAGATGGAATTCTCCAGCTGAAGATGGATTAAGGTAATATATTTATTAATCATTTTTTACTTAGGATTAACTCAGTGCTAGATCTGAGCTATATGTGGTCTTCTTTCAAAACTTGCGTAGAACTCTTAACACTTTGTGATTGTCCATAAAACAAAGAGATTCCTTAATTTAGTTTTCAAAATGCATACATTTGTCTCTTTATGTAGTTTGCTTTACTTGACCTTGTTGAAGTCTGTAATGCTTTTTTTTTTTTGGTGTAAGCTGTACACTTTTAAAAAATGTGTTTCTTGTGAGTTATGTGATAGTCTACATGGGAGAACATTAGCTTTACATTCATCCTATCATGTATCATTTCATTGCCATGGCTACAATCCCCTCCATGCATCACCAACCAAGGAAAGGGTATATCCTGCAAGCCTGTCCCCTGCTCTTCAGTACATAGCCCCTGTCCCTCTCTGGGTCTAGAGTTCCCAGCATTTCCATCTCTCCACGTCATCGTTTTCACTAGTGAAGCCATCTGGGCCTGGACTTTTGGTTGGGAGTGTTTTGATGACCTGATCAATTTCTTCTTTTGTTATGGGTTTGTTAAGGTTTTCTTTTTCACTCTGTGTAAATTTAGGTAGGTTCCGTTTTTCTAAAAATGTATCCATCTCTTCTAAGCTTTCAAATTTGTTGGAGTACAACTCTTCATAGTATTGTTTGTTATCCTTTTGATTTCCTTTGGTTCCCTTGTGACATCGCCCATGTGGTTTCTAATGCGTGTTATTTGCATCTTCCCCCT